AGAACAAGACTTACAATGAGCGTGTATTACTTTTTTAAAAAGATTTACATGGTAGTATTTATATGATAAGATTGAATTAATATACCCATATAAAATGTTGGGTCCATAAAGAGAGTATATCTTCTTTCCCCCAAGAATTCTTGGAAATTTTACAAAAACCATTCAGTCTCTCCAACCTCTGCACTATTCAAAATGCCTATCACACATCCCAGAAGCAACTGAGTCAGCAGCTGGATATAAAAGCCTGGAGTTCAGGGAAGAGACTCAGGTACAGATAATAACTCTGGGGAGTTACCAATGCATAGGTAGCATGGAAAGTCCTGAGGCTTGACAAGATCGTTAGGGCTGCAGAGGGGAGATCTGAAGACTGAGCTCCAGAGAATTCCAACATCAAGAGGTCTGGGAAACAAGGAACTGGCAAAGGAGTCCAAAAAAGATGAAAAGCCAATGGGGTGGGAGAAAAAGCAGGCAGGTATGATATTACTGAGCCACGTGCAGCAAGTGTAACAGAGAGGAGAGGGTGACTGGCCATGTCCGATGCTACTGCCAGGAAAGAACAAGGGGACTGAGAACTGACCACCGGCTGTAGCACAACAAGATCATGATGGCCTTAACAGCAACAACAGAAAAACCCAGTGGAGAGGTGGAGGCAAGGACCTGATTGAAGAGGACGCAAAGGAGCACAAGAGGAAGGAAATGGGAGACCTGAATATAAGAGCTTTCTGAAGAATTTTTGGGACTTCCCTGGTGGCGCAGTGGTTAAGAATCTACCTGCCAATGCAGGGGACACGGGTTCGATCCCTGGTCCAGGAAGATCCCACATGCCGCGGAGCCATTAAGCCTGTGCATCACAACTACTGAGCCTGCGCTCTAGAGCCCGTGTGCCACAACTACTGAGCCCACGCGTCCTAGAGCCCGTGCTCCACAACAAGAGAAGCCACCGCAATGAGAAGCCTGCACACCACGATGAAGAGCAGCCCCCGCTCGCTGCAACTAGAGAAAGCCCACGCACAGCAACGAAGACCCAACGCTGCGAGAAAAAACAAGTAAAAAAGATGAAGAATTTCTACTGTTTGTGGGAAAAGAGAAATGGGCAGCAGACAAAAGAGAAGACTGGTCAAGGCGGGGTTTTTTCACTGGTGATGGTGGTGGTGGTGGTGTTCTTTTTAAAAGATGGATGAAATTAAGAATCAGTTTTGTACACCGATGGGATTCACCTAGTAGAAAGGGCGAAGCTGGTGTCAAAAAGAAAGGAAGAAGTGCTTGAGTGACATCCTAAACCAGGAGAGAGGGGAGGTGAAGAGGGAATGGAAACAGCTAGACAGAGAGGCTGGCCTCAGTCAGGAGCACACACAGTTCCCACGGTGACGGGGACAGCAGGGTGGGTACGGACAGGGTACCGGGCACTGCTGATGGAGCGGGTATCCACGGCAGTGGATGAGCTCTTCGATTTCATCAGGACTGGGAGGCAGTGCCAGAGGCTTAGAGAAGGAGGAAACTATGAAATATCCGTCAACTAGGAGAATGAAGGAACTGAGACAGTGGAACATGACTTGTGGTTGGGATTAATGGGATTTGAAGCCAGCGGTCAGGAATCGGAAGTGATCCCAGTGAATATGGTAGAATACATTTCTCTAGAAAGAGAGAAGGCAGGAGTGAATCTTAAGTTGGAGCTGTGCAGACAAGTACAGTAAAGGGAGGGAAGGGCAATGGAGTTGAGTGTACTGAAAAGAGTGGCTTTAATGAATGACTGAAATTCACACGTGGCAAGGAAAGAAGTGAGGGTGTGAGGGGCTGAGAACAGTAGGATCAGTTGACTGTAAGCTAAGGATACTTACTAGAAAAGAGTAAGGCAGTGAAGAGTAGAAGGTGGTGTCAGAAGGAGAAAGCCTTGCAACTGAGATGACAGAGGGGGTGCCTGTCCTCATAATGACACGATCTAAGGAGAGAGCACAGAGGGAATGGCTGAGGGAAGGTGAAGAACAGGTGACTGAAGGAGAGGAGCTGAAGGAGAAAGATGCCAAGTCCTACATGAATCATCTGAAATGATACTGAAATGACTAAGAAAAGCATAAAAGGAAGAGAACTGGAGACACACCATATAAGGAAGATTCTAAAAGTAGTTCCAGGGCTTCCCTGGTGGCGCAGTGGTTGAGAGTCCGCCTGCCGATGCAGGGAACGCGGGTTCGTGCCCCGGTCCGGGAAGATCCCACGTGCCGCGGAGCGGCTGGGCCCGTGAGCCATGGCCGCTGAGCCTGCGCGTCCGGAGCCTGTGCTCCGCAACGGGAAAGGCCCGCGTACCGCAAAATAAATAAATAAATAAATAAATAAAAGTAGTTCCAAACACGGAAAAAGGTAAGAAAGATACAGATTGTAGAGAGACACTCTGAGGGTGAAACCACGTGAACACAAACAAGACAACAATAGGAAATAACACTTAAGGAGCAATGGCTGAAAATAGGTCCCCAAATTGGGGGAGGACCTGCCTGTTTCACTGTGGAGACAGTCAAAGGACGGGAGAGCTGCAGGAGGTAGACGGTAAACACCAAGTCCAATGCCACTGAACCTGCCAAGTGCTGTACCCAATTTCCTGCTGGGTGTATTACTGAACGGCTCACCGCAACCTAACAACTAAATTCATCATCTTCCTCCACCCTCATGCCTCCTGTGTTTTCCTTCCCCTCCTTCACCCTATACTCTAACATCCAACTTCTAAATTTGTCTCTAAAAGTCTCCCTCAAACAGATGCGCTGGGCTCCATTCCT